AAGCAATTGGTGCTACTACTCCATTTTTTACTGCTATTTTTGCTTTTGTGATTACTTGTAAGAAAGAATCTGCTGAGGTTTATTTGGCTCTTGTTCCTGTGGTTCTTGGTATTGTTTTGGCTAGTAATAGTGAGCCATTGTTTCATTTATTTGGGTTCTTGATGTGTGTTGGTTCAACTGCTGGGAGAGCTTTGAAATCTGTGGTTCAAGGGTTGCTTTTAACATCTGAAGCTGAGAAATTACACTCAATGAATCTATTATTATATATGGCTCCAATGGCAGCAATGATTTTGCTTCCTTTTACACTATACATAGAGGGAAATGTAGCAGCAGTTACATTGGAGAAAGCTAAGGGAGATGGATTTATGGTATTCTTGTTGATCGGTAATGCTACAGTTGCTTATTTGGTGAACTTGACAAATTTCTTGGTTACAAAGCATACAAGTGCATTGACACTACAAGTTTTGGGGAATGCCAAAGCTGCAGTGGCTGCAGTGGTTTCAGTTTTGATATTCAGAAATCCAGTGAACATTATGGGAATAACAGGATTTGCTGTGACAGTAATGGGTGTGGTGCTTTACAGTGAGGCAAAGAAGAGGTCTAAAGTAACAGCACACTGATGATTTGTATGAAAGATTCAATCTTGATGATGTAAAAGAAGTTACAATATTACCACGGGTGAGGTTCTTTTTTTACTCTGCTCTATGCTTCTTTTCCTTTTTAATATTTGGTCTAGTTAGAATTCATTGATCAAGGTGGGGTGTGGGGGGTTGAAGGTTAAGTGGTTGGATTTTATTTCAATGTATAGGAAGGGGCAAGGTGGAAAAAGGTTCATGTTCTCTTGCTTTTTATATTTTCTCTTTTCTCTATATAATTGTTCATGATTGGGGGGTGGTTTAAGAGAATAAAGTTGTCTCTTTTACTTTTCCCCTTTCTGTAATGTATACTCATTTGATGCAACTACAACAAAGAAAGACTGATTCTTTAGATATTGTTCTCTATGTGTAATATTTTGGTGGGAGAATTGTCCCCCAATATATTTTGTCAAACAAAAAGTCTATTTCCTACTCTGCATCATTTAACTTTAACTGATTTCTTAGCTAGCATTTTTGTTTCTCCTGTTTAAAAAAATTAAAAGGGAGCCTTGGCGTAACTTGTAAAGTTGCTGCCATGTGATCAGGAGGTCACCGGTTCGAGCCGTAGAAACAACCTCTTGTAGAAATGTAGGGTAAGACTGCGTGTAATAGTCCCTTGTGGTCTGACCCTTCTCACGACCTCGCACATAGCGGAGACTTAGTGCACCGGCTGCCATGTTTAAAAAATTGGCCATGTGGGGGTTTTCTGAACATTGAGGAAATGATTTCCTACCCCCACTAACAACTTGAATAGAAGCAATGATCCTGCAAAAATCTCATGTATTTTAATTATAGATTTCCTGTGCTATTTTTTGTTGATCTCCTGTAGAAAAGGTCATACAACTAAACAACATTTGTATTTGATTATATAACCAAATCTTCCCTGAAGAGCCAAGTAACTAACTGGTTGTAAAGCAGTTATTTCAATAATCAAAATGCTACTAGGTCATTTGTTTTTAAACTAGTCAGATCTGCCTGCCAAGAATAGATTAAGATGTTGTATGCAGTCCTTATTTGTAGTGCAAATAGTCATGAGTTGCATACTTGCATTATTGGTAATTCTTTTGATTGTATCTTAGATCACAAGGTGCTGTCACCTATGTTGCGTGGACTCTCCAAAATGTTGGCGCATCCGTGTCGGATTCTCCAAAAATACACTATTTTTGAAGTATCTAACACGCATCCGGCGACATATTCGGAGAGTCCGAGCAACATAGGCTGTCACTATAGGGAAAGGAAGAGAAACTTGAGATCTCATTTGCCAAGTTTCTTTCTTTGTCTCACCCTGATTTTCATCTAGGTAAAATGACCTGAGTCATTAGCACCATGCTTGTAGCTTCTCTGCTTCCTATATTATTGAGCGAGTTTGTCTGTTGCATATGAGTTCTCAAGGATCTTGGGAGGCTATATCCTATATTCTTTGTCTGTTGCATTCCGATCAGTACAATTTAACTAGTTATAGCAAGTTATTTATTCTATTCTTTAGGTTACCACGTCAAAGTTTAATATAGAGAGTTACATGTTATAGAATCATATTGTCAGCGTACATAGTATAAAACTCTTTCCATAATATCAAAAGTTTCCTCCTATGGCAGAGTATTGCTTGAAGGGAGCAGTTAAATAATTAGAATGCCAGAGTAATTGTTTAATTATATGAAAGTAGATCAGTTGTGTTATTTTGCTTTTGTTTTACTCTTTAGTTAGCTACAAAAAGCAAAATGGTAGGAGGATGTTGTGTTGGACGATATAATGAAAATGCTTTTAATTTGGTACTCCACTTGTTTCTTTATCAGTTTGTTCGGCATGTTACTTCCATTACTACTTAAAAGAAGCTGTCTCTCACCCAACTAGATAAAAGAACAAAATAACATGTTTTTTTTTTTTTTTTTTGTGTGTGTGTGTATGATAAGCTTCTTCAACAAAAAGGAAAAAATATTAGAACCTGAAAAAAACATGATTTTTTTTCTTTTTGTAAAGTTGTGATGAAAAAAATAAATAAGGCGTTAGACTTTTTATCGTACCTTAATCTTCCGTTGATATTGAATTCTTCTTACTTTAACTTAAGGGTGTGACTCGGTGATTAATGAAGTAAGAAGAGAGTCATGAGTTTCCTGAAAGCAAAAACCACTATATGATATCTTTGCATAAGTCTTGGTGGCAGAGTTATCCGGTATATGTACTGATAAAAAATACAAGTATCCAAAATTTTAAAAATAGCCAGATTTACAACTGGTCGTTCAAAAATAGCCCAATTTCAAAAGTAATCGAAATTTAGCCACTTTTTATATAAAGATAAATCTGAGCGAAAACACTGTTCAAAACCTGAAAAATACTCCAGTGTATTATGCTGGAGTTCCAGCATAAGTATACTTGAACTCCAGCATATTATACTGGAGTTCCAGAATAAGTATGCTGGAACTCCAGCATAATATGATGGAGTTCCAGCATAAGTACATTAGAACTCCAGCATAATATACTGGAGTTCCAGCAAGTATATTGGTCCAGTATAATATACTGGAGTTTGGAGCATCGGTGCTCCAGTCTCCAATATATTATACTAGAGCCAGCAAAGTATACCGGTCCAGCATAATATGCTGGAGTTCATACACAAGTGCACCAAACTCCAGTATATTATGCTGGACCGGTCTCTATTGCAGCAAAATAGTGGCTATTTTTCATTGACTTGGTAAACGCTGGCTATTTTT